CTATGGATTGAGGAGTTTGAAATTAATTATTCCTTTGATGTCCCACCAAATTCAAAACACCACTTTCTGCAGATGGAGTCCAGGTTTTGGGGTTGGAAGTGGTTTTTGTTTAGAACTGAGCCATTGTTTTTGGCGCTTAATATTCGCATAGAGAATCCATTTTTCATCACCGGTGACAATTCTGTCCAAAATTGGTTCACGCGCATTACACTCCAGAAGAGACGAAGCAATGTTGGAAACGATGATCATCGGAGAGCTCGTGAGGCACCAAAACACATTCTTTATGGAGTTTTCCTATATTCCTTAGACGTTTACGTATTGGTTGATGAGAGACATGTAATTTCAGGGCCATTTCATGAGTGTGTGGCCTTGAGTTAGAACTAAGAAGCGTCTTCAGAGCATCTATAACAATTCCAACATGTCGGCCCCTACCATCACAGTTTTAAAGACTAAAGTCACCTGAATGAAATTTGCTGAACCATCGTTGACAGTTACGAACGTTCAAAACATTTCCATAAACTTCTTTAATATTCTTTGTGGCTAGAGAAGCGATGTTTTTCTTCTGATATTCAAACAGCATTACATGTCGAATGTGTGTCTCGTCATGTGCCATCACTATAAGGGATAAAACTATACTAAACTTTACACATTATATAGGCTACCCTAACGTGACGTTTAAGCGGTTCGTTCAACTATTATACGTGGTGTACGTTTTTTTTTTGGGGGGGGGGGGTTAATGAAAGTGTTCCAAAATGCGAAATTAATTTTTTGACGACCTAATAGTTCGAACATTTTCTGTTTCTCTGGAAGTAATGCGGAGTTGTTATTTTGAACAGTTGATTTGAGCGATTGAATTTCAATTTAGTGAGCAGAAAGTATTCATATAAGAATTACACGTGATATAGACGCTACCGATAAAGTTGATGAAATTTTTACAACAAAACGCAGTGTAACTGAACTAGAAGTTCTAAAGAATAAAAACTTGGCGATTTAATAATAATAATAATAACTGAAACGTTTCAAATAACTTACAACCACTTCCACAACTACCACTGAATCCAATATAACTATGAACAAAAGTTTCACTTCCATCTGGGTACGAAATAGGTATACCATTGCACAAAAATCACGATCCTAAATTATCGCTAATCCAAGTACGGAAACATAATTATATATGGACTATAATAAGAACGATTATAAACGAATTTTTAACAAATTCTCTTGTTTCTGAGCTTTATAAGTCGTCTTAAATCTTTCGAAAAGCTCCCTTGTTATTTTTTATAACATTATATATTTAGTATAGTTTTGTTAGTTTAAAGCAGTACAAATTACATCAAAAAGTGGAAGATTCTGAATAAAAATGGACTTTTTCTATTATTATCAGCGATCAAAAGGCCAAAGAGCAGTTGAAACATCTACCAGTACTACCAACAAACACACTGAAGAAGCATCCATCATTATTTTTTTGGTATGAGTTTGTTTTTCTTTTCTTTTCCTTTTATATTTCAAGATAAACTGAGCTTATAATCTCACCTTTTTATTACTGAATAGACGTTGGAACAGAGTGGGAGGTTCCATTTTCAATGCTGGGGGGAACACATCCCCTCACTTCCTTACAAATTTCGATAATTTTTCCTAACTTGAATTGAGTTTTTGCTCCAAAATAATGACTCACTATAAACAGATAAAAACTTTAAAATGAATTAGTGGCTGGAGGTAAAAGAGACGAAAAAATAACATAGAGATTGATTTCGTTTGTGTTTCGTTCCAGATTTACGTCATATCTTAGCACCCAATACATCAAAGTAGCTTATATAATCGAGGAATATATACTCGAATTGCCCTCGTTTCCTCCTATTGAAGGCAAGCGTACTTTTTACAAGCTAGATTCACTTCCAATTTTGGTGCCCCCACCCCACCATGCATTTTGCTTCCGATGCCTGCGTACTGTGTTTTATATCTTATCATAATAACATGTGTAAACACACGTGCCGACTCGTTTCATAACTTAAGATTAAGTGGTATTTACATGACTAATAAGCAAAACGATGAGCAATAAATCTACTGGTGAGCCCACTATATCAGATAATAAACGCACGTTTTGATGCCGAGTATATTCTATATTTTAGTTTTAGTTTCATATGTTATTCGTGGAGTTATTTAACTTGTTTACTCACCAAAAGTATTATTTAACTGCTCAAACACTATCGACATCATTATTTTCAGAATATTTAATTTTTGCTCATTTTATTCATTTTTTTGAGGTTTCCAGTTTTTACAGAACTTGATAACAGCATAATTTGAGTGGAAAAGGCGAGAACTGCATATTCCGAATTTATGAACGCCATCTCTTAAGGTCGTTCTGAACTATTTTATTATTAAATAAACATTCTGGTAGTTACTTTTAATAATGCATCAACAACAACAAAAACTGAAGTATTGGAATGATTCTCTTGTCCATGATATGCCAGATCATAAATGTTCGTGTAACGTGGCATAATTTGTTTGACATCAACGAATCTAACCTAACTGGCATTGGAGTAAGCGCGAAAACTCCCCCTCCCAAAAAGAAAAAAAAACAACAAACAAACAGGAGCGTTAAAAATCATGTTTATTTCATTCGGAAAAAATATGTATAGAATATGATCCAGAATAATCTAAAAGTGTTTTTTCGAGATGACGAATTGAAATGTTTTAGAACTAAACACAAATTGGTTTAAAAAAAGAAGTTTAAACATTTAGAGTATTCGTACTCTGCTATAAGCCAGCAGGTGGGAAATCGCACGGGAATTAAAAAAGATAGTTCTTTTTAACATCGCTATTATGCTTAGTGAATTGTTTCATTTACATTCCTGATTGATATAATACTTTACAGTCTCATGTTCTTTTGTGAATCATTTGAATGAAAAACAAATTGTAAAACAAAATTGAACGCTAGTTATGTATATGTTACTTCCTTTTGCGTGTGTGTGTGTGCAGAGAAAGGATAAAGACAGTCGTAATTTACCAATAATATTTTAGTTTTTTTAAAGGTTCTTAAATATTATTTGACATATTTTCAAGCTTATAAATAAACCATCGTTTGACGTTCCAGAAAAAGGATCATCTGATACTTCTGAATAATAAATTGCTACATTATATAAATATTTTCACCACTGCCACTGTTCATCATGTACCTACCCTCAATTAAACAACCTAGTAATTGAAAGGCATGTGAACATAACTGTAAAACGTGTTGTTGTCTTTTTGCATGTGGACACAACCGAAAGACATTTTTCTTGCATATGGATACAACCTAAAAAATTTTTTTTTGCATATGGACACAATCGAAAGGCGTGTTTCTAGCATGTGAACATAACTGTAAAACGTGTTGTTTTTTGCATGTGGACACAACCGAAAGACATTTTTCTTGCATATGGATACAACCTAAACATTTTTTTTTGCATATGGACACAATT